TCATATGGTGTTTTGTTATGCAAAACAGAAGTGGTCAACCTATTGATAATATGAACAGCTTGGGTGATAGCAAATGACCAGAGCTGTTTGGGAAGGTTGGATTGAAAGAAAATAGCTCGAGCAACATCCAAAATATGTTGGTGCTTACGCTCAACTACCCCATTATGTTGGGGTGTTTCCCTACAAGAGGTTTGGTGTATGATACCTTTTTCCTGAAAGAAAGAATTCATAAAAAATTCGGGTCCATTGTCAGTTCTAATGGTTTTAACATGAGTTTGAAATTGGATTTCAGCTAGTTTAACAAAATTCTGTATATGCATTCTGGTTTCATCTTTGGGTTTCATCAAAATGGTCCAAGTGAAACGAGACAGATCATCAATTATAGTAAGAAAGTATCTATGACCATTTATTGAAGGAACAACATAAGGACCCCAAATGTCAACATGGATCAAATCAAAAATACATTTGGATTGAGTAATGCTAGAAGTAAAAGGTAACCTTTTATGTTTAGCTAAATGACAAGTGTCACATGGACTAACATGTTTACAAGGAATAAAAGGAAAAATAGATGACATGCTTTTGATTGTAGTTTGAGAGGAGTGTCCCAATCTGAAATGCCAAAGAACAGAAGGATCTAAGGCAACAACATTGCACTGGACAGATTTCAAATGATTTTCTGGCTTGGACAGGATGTATAGCCCATTGTGTTGATTAGCTGAACCAATCATCTGCCTCGTATGCATTTCCTGTATAACACAAGAAGTTCCATCAAGTACAAGAATGCAGTTCATGTCTCTCAACAGTTTTGTAACAGAAATTAGACTAACATGAAAATTTGGAACATATAGCACATTCTGTAAAACAAAACCATCGGAGATGTGTATATTTCCAGAATGATAAGAATAAACTCGAGATCCATTTGGGAGTGATATGGCAATGGGGTTAATCCTTTGAACAGAAGTGAAGAGGGACATATGAGGAGTGATGTGATCTGTTGCTCCTGTGTCTAAAATCCATTGGACAAAATTATTACCTGTTGGAGGAGATTCTGTTGTGAGTGCAAAGGTTTGCACCAGATTTGATGAATGTGTTGAAGAGGAAGGTTGTTTGGATTGTTCCAACAAGTTCAGCAGACTGTGGAATTGTTCTGGTGAAAATTGCATACTTGAATTGGAATGCTGGATAAATTGTGATCCATCAACATTCGTTGGATCAAGAGAAACAGCATTAACTGCATTAACTGTAGGATTACTTCTGAATTTGTAACCTGGTGGGTATCCATGTTTTTGATAACATGTATCCACTGTGTGATTAGTTCTTCCACAGTGAGTGCAAGGTTTCCCAGTGTTCATCCTTCCTCTTCCACCATTGAACCGTCCTCTGCCTCGATAAGAACTTCCACCTCTTACACTTTGATGTTCAGAAGTATTGAGAAAAATTTTGGAACCCGCAAGTGCATTTACTTCTTGATCCAGATTCAGTTGCCTTTCTTGCTGGATGATTAAGGAAAATACCTTGTTGATATTTGGAAGAGGATCAAGGAGCATTATTTGGGATCGCACATGAGCAAATTGCTCATTCAACCCTCTGAGAAACCTAATCACTTGATCTTTATCCCTTGACCTTCTTCCATGGTTCAAAGCTCCACAGGTGCAAATAACTGGACATCTACAGATTGGTAGAGGTTGCAAACTCTCCAATTCATCCCAGAGTGTTTTTAATTGTGTGTAAAAATCAGAAACAGATCTCTCACCTTGCTGAAGTCTGAAAATCTCTTCTTGAAGATCACAGATTCGGAAGATATCGGATTGTGAGAATCTTTCACGAAGATCTTCCCAGACATCAATTGCTTTCTCCATCCATAGCACTGATTGTACAATTGAATCAGATACTGACTTTGTAATCAACGACAACACCATTGTATTACACCTTTCCCATGCAGAAAAAAGAGGATCGGATTCATCAGGTATAGTGATGCTTCCATCAACAAATCCAAGCTTATTCTTGGATTTCAGAGACATCTTCATTGAACGCACCCAGGCTTGATAATTTCTTCCATTCAATGGTGGATTAACTAGCATCAGTGAAGGATTTTCATTAGGATGCAAGAAAAAAGGGTTTGAAGGATTAGTCGCATGATCCGGAAGTAATGGACCTTGATTTGCCATTTCAATGCAAATAAGAAGAAAGAATTTCAGAAGAAAAGGAAAAGAAAGCGGAAGAAAAACTCTAGATGGGAGAAGAAAGAATCAAATTCACCCGGAAAGAAAGAGGCTCTTGATACCATGTTATGAAACAGAGAGAACCAAAAGCATCCACATTATCGAAGGGAAAAACAGAAAAATGATATTATGAAAAGCTAAGTTTCAGTACAGAGAGAGACTCTTTATATACACATCAGTTGTAACTAACTAACTGACAGTAACAAACTAACCAATCGACTAACTGATAGTAACAAACAAACCAACCGACTATTAAGCTAACTAACCAACTATTAATTAACTTAATACAATAGTACAATAGTATATGATAATAACTATGTTATTAATTTACTAATAAAATACAGTATGCCATAACTTTAATCAATCTTACATTTTTACTTCTTTTTTTCTTTTATTGAGTTCATGAAATTCGATCATGAGTTTCTATTGACTTTCTATGCACTGTGGATTAAACCCTATCCACACACAGTACACGAGCAATAAGGCAGCATTACTCAGAAGATAAAGCGAAGAAGTTGTAACCTCTTAGTAAGAAAACCCGCGGAATGTAGTTATGTAAAGAGCAGAAAAGAGCATGGGCAATCTTTTTAGAGGAATTACTACCAAAATTTTCTACTACTAACTTACTACCTATCTAATCACCATTGAATTAAAGAGAAAGAATGCTAAAAAGTTTTTGAAAAAAGAGAAAATGTTGATTCAATGGTGATTAGATAGGTAGTGAGTTGATAGTAGAAGATTTTAGTAGTAAGAATATCCCTCCTCATCTTTTTATATTCTTCTCAGCTCTATGTTTCTAATAAGGGAAATACACTTTTCCTTTTAACATAGAGAGTTTGATTTGCGTGCTTGAAATATTTTTTTTTTCTAAAATATATAGGCCCCAACGTTTCATGTCTCTGCAGAAATTTTCTTCTCCAACTGCAAAAATGAGAAGTTGAAACCCCTTCTAATAAAGGTTAAATCACATAATGTAATTCTATCGTTTTTCTTATTTATTTCTTTTAATTTTTTCACTGATTCATTAGAAACTAATTCAGTTCGAGCTCTGTTGTCAGACGCATAAAGGAAAACAAACTTCTTTGTAGTTTTATAGTTCTAATAAAAACAGAACCAAGAAATGTAATTATGCAAAAGTTGCAAGAAACATCAAGATGGGTTTCTCTGCGTCTAGAGAAAGGGGAAGGTCAAGATTTTTATGTTCTTCTATACTGTTTGCATACCTCAATTTTTAAAAGAAAAAAAATTGAAAAAAATGACATTGAATATTATATATAGATTTAATGTTATTCTTTTCAATTTTCTTTTTTAGAATGGTTTATCGTTTAACTTATGATGAGGACATAGGAGGTGGCATGACCAAGACAACAAACTTGGAGGACATACAAGGTCTTGGAGGCCCAATGACAAGAGCAAAAGCTAAAAAGGCTAAAGAGGCTCTAAATCTCTTGGTGACCACTTTACTTGAGACAAGCCCAAGTCTAAAGGAAGAAGAGCCCCAAAATGATACACTTAATTAAAATTGAAGACCTTGAAGAATAAGCCTCAATGGATATGCATGAAGGCTTTATTTTACTTGGCCCAAATTCTGCACTTAATTTTTTATTTTCTTATATTTAGTTAAACTTTTTGTAATAAGGCTTATTGGGCTGGATTATTGGGTTGTCTATCTTCTTTTATGTGTAAGTACTTTTAGGTTAAACTCAATATGGTTGTTGCCCACTATATAAGGGAACACCATGGCTTTTGAAGACAGATTTGGAATATCAAGTTAACCTATTTTGGTGAGACTAGTTCTCTTGGGTTCTTTTGAGAATCTCTGAACTTATCAAGGGCATCAATCCTTGTGGCGTTCTTGGGCTTATCAATTCTTTGGAATTGTGGCGCCTACCTATAATCCTTAAACTCCAATTTCGTTCTATATTATCTTGGATTCATATCTCTCGAATTCCTTATCCTTTTCCGGTGATTCTTGTGCCAAAATCGTGATTCAGGAAGCCATCTTTCACCTCGTTTTGGAATCACCCAAATCCGAGGTCTGTAGCGTGAGATACGCTCTGTTCTTAACAGGTCGTGTTGGTGGATGAATTTGGGGTTAGAATTTCCATTCCTAGTAGATCCATTCCTCCATTCCTATTGGGGATCATATCAACTTATGAAATATATTTTTGTTATGTTACATGGAAAAAAAATTACTTTCTTCACACTCATCGTCATCGAAAGATATGCCTTGAGTATTTAAAAAAAAAACTAATAAACCCCACAAACACAAGGGAAGCTAACATGAGAGTCATTTTCCCTTTAATTTATACTCTAAATCATTTAACTTTCAATTTCGAATACTAATAATTTTGAAATATTAATATACATCATATTGGATTATACTTAGACCAGGAATTATCAAATTGTCACATTTTTTCTAATTTTTTACTCAAATGTCATGCGAATAATATTTTTTATCGGACTGTCACTCACTCGTCAAAATTCGCTACGATTGGTACGAACTTGATTAATCTATGATTTCGTGACACGTGACATACTTTTGCAGGAAAAGTTAATTGGACTAAGTTCACTAATAATAGAGATGTGTCACGTGACCTAATCAAATTCGTGACCAATCATAACGAATTTCAATGGTAAAAATTATTGTTACAAGTGGGTAAAAAATTGTAAAAAAAACGTGGAACTTTAGTTACTTTTCCGCGTTAGAGCACATGAATCATCATATGGCACCATAGCCAATGGCCAGAACGGATCATAAAATATTAATAACAAAACTAAAAAGCAAGCGCATAATTATAATAAATAAAGTCCATCAAGCATTGCCACGCATATCATCACATGATAAAGTTCCAGATACAATTGAGATAGGAGAATGATGCATATATGTTGATAATGCATGTCACAAACTTACAAATATTAGAAGAGAGTGAATAAAGAGGATTAGTTGTAGTAGAGCTCGAGGCCCATGCCATCGTGAATCTCGTAGTCTTTGAGGATAATGTGATCCTTGTAAATGGTGTACCATTTCTGAATGCGAATCTTGTCAGGTCTCGTACCAGTTTGGGCAGCCACCAGCTTCTTCAAGTCACCGATGGTATCGTCCTCATTGCACTTCACCCGAACCTTCTTCCCCAGCCTATCGTTAAGCACCACTTCTATCATCCTCTCTCAAACACACTTCAATTTCCCTAATTCTCGCACTTTTTGCCCTTTCTTCTCACTTTTTCACTTTCATCACAACTGAAGAACCTTCTAGTTATTGCCTCTTTCTGGGCCTACATTTGTCTCGGCCCAAATTGGAACCTTCTAGTACGTGCCTCATCCATCCTTTTGTTTGGGACCAAAAATATAATTTTATTAAAATAATTTACAATTAATAAATAATAAGAACTCGTGTGAATTCAGGACCAAACAAAACGTCTGATCTGAAATTTCATACATCCAGATATGGAAGCACAGATACAAAAATAATATAATATTTATATAATTTGTGGTGATGTTTGAGTAAAAATAAAAAATATTAATGATTGTTTTAAACTACAATAAAAAAATTCGATTTGTAAATAGGATAATAGACGTGATTCATGTTTGCTATAATTCTACTTTGGTAAAGTGTGTCATTTTAAAGGATGTAAAGTTGTGTCATTTTAAGAAAAAGAGATAGATAAAGGAAGAGAGAGAGTTGACAAAAAAAATAAAGATGTGAGTCTCACCTCTTTGTGAGAGTGAAAGGATATAAATTGTGTCATTTAAAAGGATAAACACTTTTCCGTTCTACTTTTGAGGTGGAGCCGTGTTGTTTATAAAACTATTATTTCTTCGATTAATATGAAACTCAATACAAGACAACGAGTTGGTTTCCTTTAACATTATCACAAATGAGCTATACTAGTAAAATTTACGAACTAAAATAATCTGACAGAAAAAGGATTTCTGTAAAACCTAGTAAAATCAACTGAGGGGCTAGCCCAAACGGGCCGTACCCTGAGAGCATGGTGCTCGGAGAAGGTTGAATGGGGATACCTCCTAGCAATATACAAAAAAAAAAATTACCACATTAACAAATATTTTGGTGGAACCAAATCACTCTTTAAAATTTTGTTAAAATGTCACGTCACAATCCCGCTGGTCTGACAAGCGGGAATGGACTGGATATGTGGCTACGTCTGAATGGTCAACCATTCTAACTGAACAGCCCAGCTAGAATGACACAATGTTGTACTTTTGTCACGTGTCAACATTCTGTCATTCTCGTTGAGCTGCTCAGCTAGAATGATTGATCATTCAGACGCTGTCACGTGTTCAGTCCATTTCCGCTTGTCAGACCAACGGAATTGTGACTTGACATTTTTACAAAAAAAATTCGTGACGTGGCAATCCGATAATTTTTTATTAAAAGGATGTCAATTTGATCAATGTCCCATCGCATTCACAAAGAAAAAAAAAATGCGAACTATATTGTACCTGACGCACTTTCACTTTTCCACGGTTAAGTGAACGATGCACAAATTAAGCAACACGAAAAGTTTAAGCATCCTCACAATTAATGTAGAAATAAGCGCTCTAGCTAACAATTTCCGACGGCCACATACACGACGGGGGCAAATTAGCATCGACGTGGAAGAGAACCCAAAATGAATAGCAGACTAAATTCGATAAATGTGGGAAACCCCAATCACTTACAGGAAGAGGCAAAACTTAACATAACAAACAAGCTTAATATCTAATATGCGTGAACAACACAAGTAGGACACAATTGAAACAAAAATATACTGTACATTGATTTGGTGCATACGCCCCTGCGAACCAAGAATGGGGTCCACTGGTGTTGGTTCAACTTTTCAAGCAAATAAGTGCGATTTACCATCATGTCCATCACTCCAGAACAGCAACCTCGTGATCAACCCTCCAGTAATTCGCATCATTGAATTCCTTCATTCCAGGACCACCCTCTTCGGAACCTTCCTTTTCTGCCACTTTAGGGACTACGTTTCTTTTCAATGGTCCTGCTTCCCCAACTATCCCTTCTTTCAGAGCCTGTTCCATAGCCTTCTCAGTACCTTCTAATTCTACACCTACAAATTCAACATCCTCTTCAAATAGCGAAGGTACTGCTACTGATCTTTGACTAGAATCAACACTCCCCTCAATCGAATCTTTACTAGTTGGCGACCCATTTGAAGGAACAGATTCCCCATTTGTAGAAGAACTAGCATCAGGGCTACCCAATTCAGGTTTAGTAGGAAGGTTGCTACCAGACTCATCATGATCCACAAAGGGATTCATGCTTGAGCCAGTAACTTGCATATCTGAAGGTTCACCCCATCCCACCCAATCTGGCAAAGGCCTATCCCCAAACAACTCTTCATTGTCCGATGCCTCAAACCTGAAGAATCCCATGTCATGCGAAGCACTTGCCTTTTCACTTTCAAAGTTCAAAGCGCCTCCATTCATGGAATCGCTACCAGTTAATCCACTGAAGAAGTTTGTGCTTGAGCTAGATGTACCACCATTCAGAGTATTTTTGCTATCATCCAATTCTTCATCCTCTCCAACCACTACCTCATCATCACTACTACTACCACCATTTGCAGCACCGTTCAATTTTATCTCATCCATCATCTCCGATGATGTTGTACCCCCAGTTGCATCACCAATCCTGTCATCTTGGAACGCAAACCAGTTGGAGTTTGTAAACAGACTACTGCAAAAATAGAAATTATATTTCTTATATCCACATTAAAATGATGGAATTAAATAAAGAAACACCAACGAACTTCCACAAAATTTCAGTAAAATCCAGACAACAGAATTGGGTGGATAAATGAAGCTTTTGAATGCTTTATAATTTTCTGAATAAAATATGAAAGCAAAAACAAGTCCATATGGAGATTGCGTGTAAAACTCTAAGAACAGCTAAATGATGATCATTTCAGCTTAAGCAACAGTCATGTGTTTCGTCTCATTAAACTTCATTGACAATAATTTTAAATTACGTACATCTACCAAATTCAAAATGTATATCTAAGCATAAGATTCAAGTTAATTATACTGCACAACTTCCTGACCTTATGTTCCAAACTCTGAAACTCACTTAGTCTCCTTATGCTGTCCACTTTTATCACTTAGCCTCCCTGTGATACTAAGTTTTGTATATGATGGGAGGGAATAGAATAGGGAGGCAAAGTAACAAAAGCCACACCATAAAGCAGAGTCAGCAGACAACTGAAACCAAAATATCTTGAGGGGTTAAAGATATGAAAGAGCAAATTCTATTTCAATCACAGGACGTGAATATTTGCAATCAATTACTGCAGTCCCACCCCAAAGCCAAAAAATGGGAGGAGGATCTAGTGAAACGGAAGAAATCCCTGACTAGAGGATCTATAAGAAATTTGCAAGGTAAAAAAGGCTGATTGAGTATGTTTCTTCAATATCTAGTACATATTACATTTTTCCATAATTGCATTTGAAGGATATTTCTCTCTCAAATCTGCAACTACATCCTACAAGACCTACACTACTTCCTACAAGACCTACACTACTCTACAATCATCTTCAGAAGATCATAAAAAATTAAGGAAAGAATGAATACCATGTGGAAGATGAAGCATACAACAAAATATGGAAAGATTTATGCCAGGCGCAGTATACTAGTGAGACTATTATTTTACTTATTTATCGATACACACACGACTTTGCTTTAAAATAATATTGCTCTGCTTGATTAATCCACGTGACAATCAGATTCTTCGTAACAGATTTTAACAGTTACATGACAAAATTTAGACTCACCTCCCTTGATCATCACTGAGTCGTAGGGATGATATGACCACTTGAGCAGAGTCATCATCAAAGTAGACATCCTGCAGTTCATACAAAAGATAACTTTGCTATCAAATTAGTTAATAAAGTGTGAAAGATTACAAGATGTTCCGGTTTATGATTAAGAAAATTTGACCACATCACTTGGTGACAGGCGGTCAGTCAAATGTATGGAAATTAATGCTCAAGTAGTAAAACTACAAATTACAGCACATCTCAGTTGTGTTTCACATGTCAGAATGGAAGGGCCACAATGAGCAACAGACAGTCACCCAATTTCCAAATGAGACGCGTCTTAATGAGCCAGTCAAAATCCCCAAATAAAACTACAACAGTTACAAAGAATAAACAAAACTACTACCTCATCATCTCGATCAACGCTGCCGCGTTCCTGCAACCAAGCCAATCAAAGCATTAGTCCAGCATTTAGGTTGCAGTGCCCAACCCAAAAGACAAATATAGGGAACTAAAAGAGGCAAAGGATTAAAAAATGCACAAACAGGCACATTCATTCATACAGAGGGGAAGAGGAAGCCAACAACTACAAACCTCTTCATTATCCTCGTTCCCATAAATTTTATATCTAAAAGCCTGACTCAAATTATTTGCTAAAGCAGCAACATCATAGTCCCTGTCATGAAGGTCATCATCGTCACTATCCCTCATCCTGTCTTGTAAAGCAGTTGGACGTCTGCACAGGAAAAGGAAACAAGGTTATAGTTATTATAGTCTTTTAATAAAAATAAATAGACCAAAAACATGGTATATTCTCATCATTACTATACCCAAATGGCTTCTGTACAAAAATAATAATAATAATAATAATAATAAACAAAATTGTAAATTATAATACTACAATCACATCTGCTCTTCTATATTTTTAATGTCATTTGCTGAAAATCAAGCCCTCTCAACCTATTGTTCATGATAAACTTGCTTATAGTCACAAGACTACCCATGAAAGGGCACAGCCCTGCCCACTTACAACTATATTACTGCTACCAAATCAACACTGCCAACAAAGACTTTATGCACAAAAAATCCTGATTCTCCCAGTAAAATACTCTTGTTAAGCATTTAGATCCAGATAATTGAGTCAGAGCTTACCCACAAGCCCAACGGTGAACATTCTCAACCACATTACGCTCCTGAAGAACTGTAGCTTGCCACTCATTCCACTCGCTATTTTCCTGCAGATGTTATATACATCAAGTTGATGTATTTAAAGAAAAGTTTATCGCCACATAAATTCAACATCTAAGTTCGGCCTCATGGTCTTGGATGCAAGAATAATATTTTTTTTTTTTTGAATACATGTTTTATAGCTTGTCCGATACACCGCTGATGTCATTGTTATTTAAACAATTGCTGAAGTAAACTAGGTACATCAAGGACTCAAATCCTTGATGC